AGGGTATCATTTGTGCTACAAAAAAAATTATAGTAAGAGGCTTTTAGTTAAATGTTGTTCAGGGCAATGAAAGTTTAGACTGTGGGCTTCATGGATGAGTGAAAAAAAATTCTTTCCAGATTAAGTCTCTTATATATGAGCATAATTGTGCAAGAAATTTTAAAATGGGGTCAATTGTAAACTATGCATGGATTGGTAGCCATTTCACAGCACAATTCTTACAAAAACAAAAAATGAGTGTTAGGCTACTTAAGGAAGAAGTGAAACAAAAATTTGGAATTGATGTGAGTATGGACAGTGTAGGAGAGCAAAGAAATATACAATTGAACTAACTGAAGGCACACTAGTTGAGCATTATGCCAAGCTTTGGTCATATGGTGAGGAGATAAGAAGATCCAATCTAGGATCAACTGTCAAAATGGATGTCAACAGTATGCCTGATGGGAAGACATATTTTAGTAAGTTTTATATATGTTTTGAGGGGATGAAGCAAGGTTGGAAAGGCAGTTGTAGAAGAGTAATAAACCCGAATGGTTGTTTCTTAAAGGGGTTATGTAGTGGAGAGTTGATATTTGTCGTAGGAAGAGATGCTAGCAATCATATTTTCCCAATAGCATGGGCAGTTGTTTGTGTGGAAAACAAAGAAAATTGGAAATGGTTTTTGGAGAATCTTAAAGATGATCTAGAAATGGAAAATGGTTTTGGTATTACCCTGATGTCAGATCAACATAAGGTATGTCACTTACTATACAACTTAATGTTATTTCTTAATGAGTTTATATTTTATTTACAGATGAATTTAAATTGTGTAGGGGCTGTTGGAGGCTGTGAAGGAAGTATTGCCTACTGCTGAACACAGACAGTGTGCACGGCATAATGTTGCCAACTTTAGGAAAAGATTCAATGGTGTACATTATGAGAGGATGTTTTGGAAGGCATGCAAGGCATCCCCTGAGCCTTTATTCAATGCTGCCATGATGGAAATACAACTACTTAATCCTACAACATTTGATTACCTTATGGAAAAGAACCCAAAATCATGGTGTAGAGCTTTCTTTCAAGAGGGGAAGATGTGTGATGCAGTTGAAAATGGATTATCTGAAAGTTTTAACAATGTCATTAGAGATGCAAGAAAAAAACCAATAATCACAATGTTAGAAGAAATTAGGTTGTATGTTATGGAGAGGCAATTTAATCTGACCATTAAAGGTTGTTCATGGCCTGATTATAAACCATGTCCAACTATTACAATCCTACTGAATCAGTTGAAAAGAGCTCAAAGGTATTAACTTTAATTTTGACTTTTAATTGCTTACTTATTCTATATACTAACTTGTATACTATTTAAACAGGTATTGACAGGTTTTACCAACTGGTTTAAACCAGTTTGAAACAAGAAATTTGGCAGAGTCTTATGTTATGGATATAGATAAGAAGACTTGTTCATGTAGAGTGTGGAAACTAAATGGGTATGGATGTATGCATTCTATTGCAACTATCTCATACCTAAATAGTGATGTTGGTAATTATGTGGATCCAATGTACTATGGAGCAATTTACAAGAACACCTACAAGTATCCAATGCGTGGGATGAATGGTAGCAATATGTGGCCATCTACGGAATTCATTGCACCTTTGCCACCATTGAAGAGAAAAATGCCATGTAGACCTAAAGTTAATAGAAGAAAGGATGCAAGTGAAAGGGGTGCAAGACATACTGTGTCAAAGGTTGGGAAAAAAATTATGTGTAGTGTATGGAAGCAAGTAGGACATAACAAGGTTACATGTTCTCAAGCTGAAAAACCAACAAAACTCAAGGTAAAGAAAAGGAAGAGAACAGATGGTAATGATGGGGAAGGAAGCAGTGGTAAGAAGGTAATGGATGGTAAATATGAGCAAGGAACTAGGGGTAATAAGGGAAATAATGGTAATGATGGGGAAAGAAGCAGTGGTAAGAAGGAAATGGATGGTAAAGATTAGCAAGGAACTAGGGGTAATAAGGGCACTAATGGTAATGATGGGGAAGGAAGCAGTGGTAAGAAGGCAATGGATGATAAAGATGAGCAAGGAGGTAGGGGTAAGAAGGTATTATCAAGAAAAGAAAGAAGTCTGAAAGAATAATCAAGAAAAAACTTGCTACAAGGGTTGAGGGTAGGAATGGGGAAGGCAACACTAGTGACAAGCCAATGGAACTTGAATAGGAATTAAATTTCAATGTCTGTCATTATGTACTTGTTATTTAGGATCAAATTGTGATGTTTCAGATGAAGTGTGGATGTTTGGTGTTATGTACTTGTGATGTTTCGAAATAAGTTTGGATGTTTGGTGTTATGTACAACCGTTTGTAATGTTAATGGTTTGAATGTGCTTATGATTGTGTGTTAGTTATGGACGTGCATGGTATTGGGGTCCATTTTTGACATTAGTTTAACTGCATATGGTCCCATTTGTTCAAGTTGAAGCTATTTCCAATGTCACTATCAACAAATAAACTACGAATGCAACATGGGATCCCATCTAACATACCCATTGTTTTTTGATTAAATTAAAATAAAGGTACATGGACAATAGAGTATCCATTAAAAGGAAATTAACATCAGCAAACTATTACAACTTGTAAACAATTATGCCAAAGAAAACAATCCAACTAACAACTAAACACATCTTCAGCTTCCAAATCGTTGATTCAAGCTTCTTTTTTGACCTAGCCAAACCTGCAATCATAACTGCTTCAACACTCATATTCTTAGTGTCTACTTCTTCTACCCAACAAATAAAACCATTACGAGGTCCCTAACAAAATGAATTTTCGAGTGTGAGAGACTAAGAAAGGAAAAACCTAATAAATTAGGGCTATAGTGAACAAACTAACACACACCTTAGTGGGGCAAGCATAGAAGGGTCTTCCAGGGTTGGACAGAGTGGAAGACATTCATATTATGGCGACACATCCACACGAGCATTTCACCATTTTCGCTTCGTTAATTCCAAGGGCTCTATAATTCTGAAAGCAAATAATCACAGGGAAAAAGAAAGGTACTGTCGAGTAAGGAAGTAAACTACTTATAAAGAGGAAATGACAAAAATACCCCTTTGTTTGACCTCATGCACATCTGTCATAGTTGGTGCACCAAACACACTTAATTAAAATTAACTAAGGCAAACAAAAGTTACCCTAAATCAACACCGATGAACGGAACAAATTATAACCCATTCATTTCAATTTACCTTTCACCAAAATGTACAGGTAACCATGACTTCAAAAAACATCCAAAATGTACCATTACAATCACCACTGGAGTACCACTACCTACACTAACTGGATTACCACCAACACAAACGAAACACACATAATCCTAATAACATATATAACAAGAAACACCATTAAACCTAACAGTAGATTATGAGCACTAGATTAGCATACCACTACTACCCATTTCCATGAGATTTACTTGCTGATTATCAAGTGAATGATGAAAATCATGATCAGGAGCATGACGACCACATCACCCACAACCAACAGTGCAATCGCTTTAATCTGCTTCTCTACATGGTCGAACCTTTGCTTCGTGTTGAGGACATCAACCCTGGAATGAAGGTAATCGCGACCCATCTCCTCCTTCATACGCTCGACCTGACCTTGTTGCTCAACTATCTTTTCACCACAGTCACAGAAGATCGTGTGCAAATCGTTCAAGTTAAGCCCGTCTGTTGAGCTTATCGAGTTATTGGAGTTTATAGTATCTGGTGATGGTGGTGGGGTAGGATCCATGGAAGACAGTGAAGGGAAAATGGAGTATTGTCGAATGGTTGTCGGCTAGTGTTTGGCCGGAAATGGTAACAATAATCTAGGGTTTTGTCCAGCAGATCCTTCAATTATATACTAGGGGACCATTGGACCCTTAGGGCCCAAGCAAGCCAACTCGTTCGTGAGTCAGTGACGTGTAATCCGAGTTGGGTGAGTAGACTCACTAACTGAGTTGGGTGATGACTAGGCAAGGAAACCGGTTGAATTGGGTCAAAATCCCAAATTAGCCGGTTAAATGTGACTTCATGCCCTTATAAAACCAAAAAAATAACATAAACCTTTTAAACCAAAATGTGTAACTTCGTGGGGCTACAGTGACATTTTCCATTTTTTTTATTGTAACGTTTATTAGTTTGTGGTTGAATATGAATATTATTATATGTTTAATGTATTGAGTTTTTTCTGTATTCTGTCACTATAACAGAAAAAATCCGTAGGATCAAGTCAAATCTAGTCATCCTAGAGCCCGTCGGAAATCTGTAAGAAATAGTTTGACTGGTTCGTCGGAATTCCGTCGGTAAAAGTCAATGGTGGTCAAATCATATCCGTCGGAAATGGTCAAAGGTGGAAACCATATCCGACGGAAGTGATCAAACCAAGTAAAACCAGATCCGTCAATAAGTTTCGGCTGGTGGTAAATTTTGATGGAAATCCGTCACAAATATAATTACCTATGACCTTTTTTGATTCGACAACTATACCAGTCGGTAAACCCATTACTGACGGATTTCGGACAGAAAATGCCGTCGGAACAACTGCTTTTTCTAGTAGTGTTTATCTGTTTATATGCAGTATGCCTCACAAGAAATGAAGGATCCTTAAGGGAGAAAACTGAGCTAGCAGAATGGATGGCAGGAAAAAATAAATTTAGGTTCACAAATGGTGTTTATATAATTAATTCTAATGGAAGAAAATGAAGCAGTATTAAATTGTATAACTCATAACTACTAATGACGCTGTATTAACTTGTACATATATTCCTTACATTATATATCATGGTATACAGAGATAATTAATTGTTATATATATGACCAAAAAAAATATTTAATCCCCCTCCCCTTCCTTTTCAGGAATGATCTTGAAGACATGATTGCAACAATTATGTGAAAGTATTCAAAGAATATTGAGCATGGAGTGCGCTTCAGGAAGTTTAGATCCATGATGCCAACACACTCTGATTGATGCATGTGTCTCAGGTAGATACAAGAAATCTTGGTAGGCCAACCTTGTGACCATAGTCTTTAACATCTTCTTGAATCTGCCTTCGGTACTCTCCAAATGTGAACCTTCTGTAAATGGAACTTTCTTTATCACAACAACCAATGAACGATTCATAAGAAGGACACAAGAAGTAGGCTATGGAGTGCCTCTCCACTTCCTGATTCACCGTTACTTTGTGTTCCACGCTTTTGTAAACGTCATTGCTCCATGCCTGCAAATTTCATATATTTTAGTGGTTAATGTCATATGCCTCATTGAATTCTTAGCTTTGAATTAAAATTATTGCACAGCTGTGTATTCCGTAAAAATATTCATATTGTACAATGTACAGTGATTATTGTATTACCAACAACTACGCTTTTTGGTTGAATAAAAAAATGCACATATTCCTCTTTCTTTCTCTCTCCAATATTATTATACCTGACATTAGTTGACTTACGTTGCATGTCAAGGGCTAAAAGAATCGACAACTCTAAAAGTTCCATGTCGATCCAAATATAATATTATTCACAGATATATTATACATGAAAAAAGTCAAAAAAAAAAATATATAGTAGAAGGAATAATACTATCATCGATGTTATAAGGATACCACCGGTATATAAATACAAATATTTTGATGAAACGAATTAAGATGCTGAAAGTTATATCTCCAGGCAATTTGCTTCTCCATTTGATTCACTATTCCTAGATAACTCTCTATTGTTCGGATGGAATTAATAATATTTATAGATAGAAAGATAGGCCTCACCAAGATAATATCTTTGCGACATATTATTATGCCCATTAGTTTGAAAAGGTTTATATGCTAGAATCTGAATAAAACTTGTTTTTATTATTGCAATATTCAAGGGCCAAAAAAAGGGGTTCACCACATGCAAAAGGTAAAAGAAATATACCTGAAAAAGGTCACCAATGTTAACAACAAGGGCATCAGGGTTGGGTTTTACTGCCACCCATTTGGAATCTTTCATTAGTTGAAGCCCACCAACATGTTCATCTTGGTGCAAAATTGTAAGAAAATCGCTGTCTGTGTGGGGTACAAGTCCAAAAACCTCCGGAGAGATGGGGCATGAAGGGTATCGGTTCAGCCTCATGAAACAGGTACTCTCGTTACAGTTGTCTTCCCACAAACTTCGTCCTCCGCCCATATTCATCACAAGCACTCGGGCTATTGACTTTGCAAGTTCTTGCATTGCACCAGCATATTCTTGCATCACTTCCCTGTGCATTAAAAATGCCAAATTCTTAGCTAACTATATATTAATTTTATTAGTTTGTAAATTCTAATCAAAATAACTAAAGGAAAAAATATATAATGATATTCCGTTGTGGCTTTGTCTCTAATGGAAACATCTTGTCAAGTGGTTTCACTTTATGTGGAAAGGAATAATATATTCTTTTATTCCATTAATTTTAGCCGCTTATAATAATAATATTACTTTTCTTTCCCAACTTCGATTCTCTCAAAAAATGTTATTCTAAAACAATTGGTTTAAATAAGTATTCGTACCATAATTCTAATTCATCATAACAACGAAAAGTTAGAAGAATATTAGTCCTTAACTTATATAAATCCAATTTAAATGAAAATTATATATTAAAACCGACAGAAGAATTATTTTTTCCCGTTTTCGGGTTATCCGATTATCTATTTCAGGAAAAATAGTATTTTATTCTTCAAATTCTTCTTTACAGGTATAAAAAAAAACCGCAAGTGGTAGTTGCTTAAACATTTTTAATTAAATCATGTTTAACCGCACCTAGTGTTCTAATTCTGATTTTTCAGTTGTATTTCCTGAGAATATACAGTGTAAAAGTTGACTTGAAACCTGAAAATCTATCTTAAATCAATCTTAAATCGTGTTATGCACAATGTTGTTAAACTTTGTTAGGTGAAAGCAGTGGGGGGAAAGAGGAAGAACGATGATGATAAAAGAAGGGATTAATAAATGAAAGACAAAGCAATGCTATTGCTACCTCAACGAGCTGAACTCTCCATAGCAAGTTTCATCAGAAATCTTCGAAAGTGGAACATGAAAAGCTTCACACCATGATAGTTGTTTTGGACACGTAGCAGTTCGGTTTCCCCACCTATACGAATTATCAAGAAGCCCGGAAGCTATTTTCTGTTCAAATGGTGCTTTAAACAACTCAACCTGTACCTTTCTCATCCTCCTAAGAAGTTCCAGGCTTATTCCATGGTTAACAATCTGAAAGAAACCCCATTCAGCGGAAGCTTTACATATTTCTGACGCACAAGAAACGCTCTCTTCCTCATTCATGCTCCACAACCCACCAAGATCCACAAGGGGAAGGCCACATTCTTCCATCTCCTGTTCGTAATTAATGCGTTGCTTTGTTTCAACTGAATCACGAGACCGTTGTAGAAGTTGAGTATAGTCATGGAGGAGAGGTGGATTATGATTGGACTCTATCATTTTCACACAAAATCTCAGGTGCACGAATGTTTTGTAAGTTTAATAAACAAAGAGGACTTATACAAGTATAGGACCAGAAAGAGGGGTTTTATAGTTATAGTTTCCGAGAAACTCCAAGAAGAAAACAACAAAAGGGTGTATGTAAAATGCTCTTCCAATAATTTATAAAGATCGGAAAAATGCAGAAGCGACAAAGAGGGAAAGCATCCTAAACGTGACAAATGTCAAACTGCTGCAGTCTTGGAATTATATTGGGCCAAAAAGGACCAAGTCTAACAGGGTTACAGAAGATCAAATATTTAGCACCGAATAATGTTAAAGAATATGTTTTCTGGTGGGAATGGGCGCATAAAGCCATAAAGGAAACTGGAATAGGTCGATAGATCCAAGCTACGACTATCAATGAAAGAAGAAAAAGGGTCTCGGTCACATGGTGAAATCTGCATAGTACGATTAAAAATGAACCAACTAAGATCCTTAAGAACATGCCAATTGACAAAGTGTGCATTGTCTTTGACTACCATGAAGTAACTTCACTAGGTGGTAATATTATTTTATTTTTTTTGAACCGTAAAAGAATTATCATTATCGACTAATAAATCATCGCCAGAACATAACCATTTTCACAAATCTTAACCATGTTCACAAATCTATAGGCTTGGTAATCTCGGTTGGTTCTAATCTTATTTTAATAGATATATAACTTTTTTTAAACAGTGGAATTAATTACAAACATACATATTACAAGGAATAAACATCACTTGAAATTTCATTATTCATATGGCATGTCACTTGAAATTTCATCAATCATATGGCATGTCAAGACAATGGGCAGATATAGACATTTTCATAAAACATGTGTTTTATTCAAAACATGAATAAAACTAACTTGCATATAAAAACGTGGCATGCTAAATTTTTAAAACTATACTATTAATCTTGCCCTTTTTAACACTCTTTCCATAAAAAGGCATGCCTTCAAATAGCAATTTTATTGATAGGAAAAACTTGCTATCATATATATTTAAGTGCTAATTAAAACACTTAGGTGTTGTTTGTTTTTCTAAAGCCAAAATGTTTATAGTCTGCAGACCACATCTACAAGCCTCTGCGACAGAAGAGGTGGACCAAATGTCTATAGTCTGCAATAAGAAAACCGTTTGTTTTTAACGTCTGCGGTCGCTAAAACAAATTGATTTTTCAAACTTAATTTAATGTCTTAAACATTAAAAATGCATTTTCAGAAAAAAAAAATTGCAGACAGTGGCCCATGTTTTTTTTTTTTTTTTTTGGTTTAGGTTCAAATGATGTGTGAAGACCTTTAAAGACAGTGGCACATGTCTGCGCCAGAAAGACCTCGCGCAGACGTTTTTTGATCTGCGCACCTCCAAAAAAAAAACACTCTGCGAGGGCATATGTCTGCGCGACGCAGTTAAAAGTGGTTGCGCAGATCTACACAAAAAAACAAACAACCCCTTAATATCCAACATAGTCATATTGAAAAATATGTTTTGCTTTGTATTCAAAAATATTGTTACGTTTTAAATGTCAAACAAATTTTTTTTTTTAAAATATATAAGTAAAACATCAGTTTTCCATAAATATAGAATATCAAATAGTTTTAAAACCACAAAACCATAACATGTGAAATCAATGTATCAAAAACATCATAAGAAGCAGAAGTTTAAAAACATAATCATCTACGATGGGCATGTGCATGCGACAGAGTCAAGCTGGAGCATTCCCATTGTCATGAGCACAACCTGAAAAATATTTAATCCACAACTGTTGGCACATAGCTTATAGAGTTCTCCAAAATACCATATATCACATTACATATACAATGCATATATACAAGGCTCATAGTCAACACATCGGTGGCCCTATAGGCACGCATCCATTATCATAAAGGTTAAACTTCCACTCGTCATCAGCTCATAGCCAACACCTCAGTAGGCCTATAGGCACACATATATTATCCTAAAGACATGTTGAACCTCCAACTACCATCCTAGCGGGCCTAAAGGATTACAGTTAACTTCCCTTAGGATCACCACATACTAAACAACAAACTAACCAATCTAACACATAGTCGTACCCTAACAGTACTCATACAACCTACAACACTTCTTTAACATCCCAAAATCATGACCAAAATTTTTATTTTTAAATTAAGTAAAACATTGTTTTAAGGGAAAACCCAAGTCAAGAAACCATAAGTGTCAAAATATAGTCATCCAAAAATTTGAATATCACGAAAATGTGGAATCACAAAAACTATCGATGAGAGTGTATAGTTAAGCCATCGCTTTCCTAAGATCATCTGAAGTACCTGAAACACGTTTAAATCCACAACTATAAGCTCGAAGCTTAATGATTTCCCTAAAATATCACATACAGAACAACATAATAAACAACTATATATTATCAGCAACCTTGGGACTATCAGCAGTCCTATTGGCTGACAGCAGCCCTGGGGACTATCAGCGGTCCAGAAGTTATCAGCAACTAAATAAACACACATAACAACAATCAACAAATAAGACTTAACTAGTCAAGCATGCACCTTATTATGATATAGTTAATATAGTGAGAATACTCACCTCGCAAATAGCATGCTAACACAACAGCTCTTTGATAAAGGAGGCTGGTACTACGAGACACCAAAACATAGTATATGAGTACCCGCTCAATCTACACACTAAAACCCATAAGTTAACCAAAGTCAACAATGGTCAAAAAGTCAACTATCAAAGTCAGCCCTAGTTGACCCCCACGTCGTGGACACCCCTTGGCCATGTTGTGGCAACGTTGAGACAAAACAGTCGCAAAGACTGTCTAACGCCACGTCGTGCTGATCAACCCGCCACGTCGTGGGCGCTGCTCAGACCAGCTTAATACATTATGCTCTTAATCTTTCAAGCCACCCATTGGTACTTTCTAGAGGGCTTTCTTACTCCTAATACTCCATAAAAATCGTTGCTTTATAGACATTCATGTCCAATGCATGTCTTGAGCTCAAATTAGGTCAAAATGGCGAAAATGAGATTAAGATCTCATGCATGGAACTCATAACTCAATAACTTTCTAGATCTGGGACAAAAGGCTACAAAGGAACCTCAAGTACTCATAAAGTTGCTAACTTTATGAAATCCCAACACTCAAACCACCTCAAACATGGAGGAAAATGGACAAAACCTAGATTTAGCATGATTGGACACAAAAGATAGAAGCTTGAGGACTAACAAGGGTCCAAAAGCTACACAAACTGATGAAGGAGAGGTTTGCTTGCTGGAAAAATGCACCAATACACCTTTTTTTCTTCTTCAAGAGGCTAAAATCACCACAAAGAGCTCACTGTTGAGGGAGTCTTGTCCAATATGGAGCATTTGGATCATGTTCATGGAGCATTTGGAGCACTTGGAACTAAATGGAGCACTTGAGGTTCATGGAGCATGTGACAAAGGAACGGATCATCTGAGAAAGGAATGCATCGTCTAACAAAGGAACGGATCAAGTGCCAAAGGAACGGATCGTACAGAAGGAGGTTTGGAGCACCTAGAAGAGGTTTGGAGCACTTGGGAGTGATATGGAGCAACACGGGGACCTCGTTGTGCAATATGATAAAGGGATGTGCTAAGAAGGATGTTGTTGCGCCATAAGAATTCCTTCTTAAGTCATGTTGCTCCCTCTTACGCCATGAGGGGTTCCTCTTGCGCCATGAGGATCCCTCTTGTGCCATGAGGTACTCTTGTTGAGCTATGGAATATGATCTTGTGCCATGCATGGCCTTGTTGTGCCATGTATGTTCCTGTTGCTCCAAGGTGGTGTTGTTGCTTCAATCTTGATGTTCTTGTGCCACACTTGAAGCCTGTTGCGCCATCCATACACTTGTTGTGCCATCATGGTGAAAGTTGGATCATCTTGGTCCTTGATGAGCCAAGTATGCTATGAAGTCCTCTATGATGCTCAAGATCGTTTAAAGATGCTCAGAAGTTGGTATTGCTCAAGAAATACACCATGATGGTTGTTGGACCATTAGTGTTCATGATACGCCACCTATGCATCATGATGCTCCACTATGGTCAAGTTGGTCCATCATGTGTGTTGCTGATGCTCATGGGTTGTATGACGTGGAAGAATGTTCTAGAAGATGTTGCATGACGGAATATGATTGGTTGTCGCCATTTTTGGCCCTATGGGTCAATAGACTTGGCCCATTTGGGTTTTAGGTCTAATCCATCAATTATAAATAGACTCATATCTGCATCATTATGAATGTGCAGAAATTTCAAGAGAGTAATCGTTGTGAGGTTGAGAGAACCCCTTTGGAGCAGTTAGTAAGCAAGAGATATTCTTTTGTTTTGAGAGCTCAAATGAGGTGTAACCTTTATGTGTGATTGTATTTGTTCTTGGAAGTTAATAAAATCCTCTCTCTCTCTCTCTCTCGTTCGCCCATGGATGTAGGTCACCTTGACTGAACCACGTTAAATATTGTGTTCACTTGATTTACATTTTCTGAAGTTTTATTTTTGCAAGTTCACAGAAGTTCGTTTTGATATTTTTATGAAGTGATTAACTTGTTTTGTTGTCACCCAGCAAACTGGTATCAGAGTTATGGCTGAATATAGGAAAGTTAATATCGACAAATTCAATAGGCACGATTTCGAATTCTGGAAAATGCAAATCGAAGACTACCTCTACCAAAAGAATTTACATGAACCATTGTCCAAAAGTAAACCTGAAGAAATGAAGCAGGAGGATTGGGAATTGTTAGATCGGAAGACACTTGGTGTGGTGAGATTATCCTTGGCAAATAATGTAGCATACAACATTTTCAATGTGAAGACTACTCATGGTTGATCAAGACACTATCTAACGTGTATGAAAAGCCTTCAGCAGCGAACAAGGTTCACTTGATTCGATAATTGGTAAATCTGAAGATGAAAGAAGGTGACTCAGTGACTGATCATGTTAATGAATTTAATTCAATCCTATCA